GCACTTCTCTCCACATGCCAATATTTTAAGTTCATGAGTTCATAAGTTCATGATGCTACGCCGTACGACTAAACACTGCCAAGCATCCTGAGCAGGACGTCGACATCTCAGACGTACTCCGTAGTGCAGCCAGTGTTAAATCTACAGCTAAAAGTTCATGATGCTACGCCGTAGCCGTACGGCTAAACATTGCCGAGCATCCTGAGCAGGACATCGACATCTCAGACGTACTCTGTAGTGCAGCCAGTGTTAAATCTACAGCAGGGGGCGTCAAACTCATTTTGGATCAGTGGCCATATAGAGCCTAATTAGCAACATAATTACTGTTAAATAACAGTAAGTCTATATTTTTCACTTTTTTTAATTAAGAAGTACACGTGTATTAGAAAACATTCATATTATATGGAAATTCATTTGAACACAAAGTGTTAGTGCGTCTTTTTTTTTACTTTCAAAATGTATCAAGCGGACCAGATTGAACCTCCTTTTGGGCCAGTTTTGGCCCACGAGCCGTATGTTTGCCACTGATTTAAACAGTATAAAGATAAAGTATAATAACATGAGAATATATTAAAATTGTACCTGTGTACATCTTGATGGTGGCGATGGTGCTTATAATTCACTCCAGCTGCGACTGTATTTAAGTATTGAATGATTGACCAATCAGGGTTCTGCGTTGACAAGTTGCTGAACGTGTGTTTCCAGGAACAGGACAGGAATCCTGGGCTGGAGGAGTGAGAAGACGGAAACAGTGAATGGATATGAAGCCAAGGTAACGAACGGACCTTCATCACTGAGGTCCACAAAAAAAAAAATTAACTTACAACAATATTTTTTAACCATTTGATTGTAGTAAAACTGTCAAAATCAATACGATTGAGGGTATGATAATATCGCAATACATCAGCATATCAATATTTTCTTACATTGCTAACATGTATGAATGATGGTGTGACGTTTGTCTCTATTTGACCCTGGGATGGACTGGGGAACCGTATGAATGATGGTGTGACGTATTTGACCCTGGGATGGACTGGGGAACTGTCCAGGGTGTACACCGCCCTCTCCTGTTGACAGCTGAGATTGGTTACAGCCCAGCCCCACTCTCTGTGACTATGGACAGGAATAAGCGGTAGTTAATGGAAGGATGGATGGATGTTAGCAGACATACCTACAGTACAACAAGGCGATAGATCCTTTTGTTACTCGTCTTCATTCATCAGTGCATTAATCGCCAGTTCACTGCAGTTAAATCGTCTGCGTTGAATAAAGCACTCCACCAGTCATGAACTGATGCATCTCCTTCCTTCAAGGAGTCAAAGAAAACATCAGGTCCGAGGTAATGTACGCGCCCGTGGGCAATCTTCCCTGTAGTGTGACTAATGACGGTTTAATTTATCCCTCACACATGCATTACTTCGACCCCATTTGTTTTCTTTGACCCCCTGAAGGGAATCGATGGGAGACGAGTGTCGGACGCTCAGGTCCATCTGTCTCTGGTGGGTTAGAAGCACTTCAGCCAGGTTCTGAAGGGAAATACTGCTGCCTGAAAAGGCATCTATTCCCCGCATCATCGATTCAGAGTTGCATACACAGACAGCCTTCCTCCCTCTCTCCCTCCGTCCTCCCAGACGATTTTTACCTCTCGCACTCCCTCATCCGTCATCCAGTTTAAACCTGGAGTCAGTCTCCTGCCCAATGTTTAGTCAGTGTATTCTTGTTCCGTGAGCAGTGAGGAATTCCTGTGTGGATCAGAGGTCTTCAACAAAAAGTATTGGTTGATTTTAAGGCTTTGTTTCAGACACAAGACAAGACACACGTATACACGGAATTACAAAACAACTTTGTACAAAAATGAGGGAAGGGTAAAAACTATATATATATATATGTATATATATATATACATATATATAAATCTCTTTTTGTCTTGGGAAATAAAATAAAAAAGGTGCAATTTGCTTTGATTTAATCCAGACAAAATTATGCAAAAACATTCAAAGATAATGTGATAAAAATAAAATAAAAAAATCAGAGCTGTTTAAGACAACCGAGAAAGTTGTCCTGACACGCTTTAGTTATTAAGAAGTGACACTATTTGAAATGACATCTTTCTTGGAACTTTTTGACTCAGTTAATGAGTTCTTAGTCAGAAGAACACTCAGGACCCGGTTTACCTTCCCTCAGGTACACAATAGACTGTCCTTAAGAGACCGACCACTTTATACAGACCTCAATAAAGTCCTATTCATAAATGCATGTGCCAAATGTTATTGTACTGCACTATAGACCAGCACATACTTTTGGTAACACTTATTGCTTATCGTATTATTCAATGTGAAATAATAGTTTAAAAAATATATATATTATCTCTGTTTCTAATAGGAAATCTATAGGTAACAGTAGATTTGTGACAGTTTATTGGAAAGGGTTTGAATCCTCTCTGGTGTTTAATGATATCACCGCTGAGGGAACAGTTATTTCACATTTTATCGTCTAAAATTGGATGAACATAAGGAGTATATATCTGTTCAGTCTCCCCCGAAGGCCATTTTGGGAATAGTCTGTGGATAAATACTCATCTGCAAGTGAGTTTTTAATTACAGTACAGAGAAGTACCATTAAACATCTGAGTAAACTGCGTCCGTCCTTTTCAGGTATACGCCGCGTCCAACGTGGAGCTGATCACCAGGACCAGAACGGACCACCTCTCAGACCAAAACAAGAACAAATCCAAAGGTAAATAAAAAAAAGATTTATTTTCAACTTCCAGTTTAATGTCAGATGTAAGACTTGACTGGAGGGAACTAAAGGAACTGTTTAGGAGCTGCACATTAAACTGCAGTACTGAGCAGTAGATGTCCAAATACTCAGGGTGAGTTTTTATTGTTTTAACTGACACTTACTGCTGCTTTTTCTTCTTAGTTTTACTTATATTGTTTTAACTGACGCTCACTGCTGCTTTTTCTTCTTAGTTTTACTGTACTTACTTCAAATGTCCAAACTAAATTATATAAAAATAAATTGTTTTTTCTTATTGTACTGAATGGAACCAAACAGCCAATTTGTGTGTTAACATAAAATCAGACTATAATAATACCACATTTACAAATATAATATTGCTGTATTACTTAAAAAAAGAACGCTGTGTTTTTCCCTGATGTTTTCTGATCAGTCAAAAAGACTCTCAGTTGGAGTGCTTCAATAATATGAACAGGTTTCTATTTAAATTGGGTAAAAAATTTGATGCCAGATTTCACAAGTGCTGATCAAATAAAACATACGGCAGCTCAACACTTGACAGGTTCCAATAATAAAACTTGGAGAAAAGCACCTGACAGATGTGTTATTAAAATGTGACTTTTTAAAATCATCCATTACTAAACTGTAAAAATGCTACTGTCAGGACCTCGCCGGGCCTTCGTGCTCAGATCAGAATGTTCTTCACGCCTTTATTCCTGGATTATCACTACAGCGCCACTGAATCTTCCCACCTGCAGCACAATGTCATGTGTGATAGAAAAGGCGCTGATGAGAATCCTCCCGAGCCGAAAAGTAATCACCGCTCTGCTCTGGCTAACCGTCTGTAACATTCGCTCGCTCTCTGTCTTGTTTTCTGCCTCTGATCGTAACTCAGACAGGATTAGTGGCATCGTTCTCTCTCCGCCACTGTAACAGACAGTTACCAACCAGCAGTGAACGCAGTTCTCTGTCTGCAGGGAGACGAGTGCACAACGTATGGGCAGTCGAGGCCCACGGGTCAAAACGGGGGACTGACATTTACAGTAATTACGTTTTAGGAAGTTAAAAGGGAATGTTGAGGTCTTTGAAGTTTGTTGGTATCGTGTACTGACACGTAATGGAGCAGAGTCAGGAAGTCGACACGGGCAAACGCTGATAAAACAGCTGCCAGCGCAGCAATTACTGAGTAATTTTTTTAACAGTGAGAACCACATGATATTTTCTCTCTGATCCTCACAATTTTGGAATCCAATCGTCGGCCGGATTGGATGGTTTGGCGGGCCAGATTCAGCCCACGGGCCACCGGTTGATTATCACTGGTCTATACACTGGTCAAACTAAAGAAAGTTTTTATTAAAGAGCGTGACTTTATAACAAGACGTGTTTCATAATGAAGTGGAAATCTTTATATTTAACTTTCTAAATGTCCTCATGAAGGACAATACTTTAAATCTAACTTCAGTCCAAACCGCTATGAAAGTTTGGGCCAAAACACTTAATATATATATATATAACTTTTTTTGTCTCTTACTTTAAGAACAGAAGATTTCAAGAAAAGATGAACAAACTTTAGTTTTTAATTTTAAATTTATTTAGCCGATTTTTCTGGATGCTCTGGGCCCAACTCCAACCACATAATTAATAACAATAATAATAGATAAAACAACATTAACAAACCAACAAAATCTGTCTGTGCTTTTAACATCAGTCCATCAACTTCCTCTCCGTGTCTCACTGACTTATATTCTCCTGACATACTGTACGTTGAGTCATTCTGTTTCTCTGTAGAGAAATGTCAGGGTCGTGTTTCATTTTAACGTCATTCAATATTTTGAATTTAAAAAATAATAATTTATTCATTCTAAAAATCAAGTGTATTTGTTTTTTAAATTTTACTCACTTAGTTCTAGATTTTCCATTTACTGAAACATATAAAAGCGTTTATCTGTCGGACTAAAAAAAACAGCTCCAGTTCTGTTTCTGCAGTAAAGATTTAAAGAGAAGGACGCGGAGACTTTCAGTCCTCTGGGTGAACACCGTGGCACAAATCCAGTAGAACATGCAGAGAAATCCTGATAATCTAAACTCAGCAAAACCCAGGAACATCGATTTAATGGGAATTTATAGAGGAACTGGGCAGAAAGTGATGGACCGAGGACGGAGAGAACAGAGTCCAACAGTAAACAGACGAGGAGACGAGGACTGAGAGTCCAGAAAAGGAGGACAGGGTAACTGAAGGTGGAGCAGGTGTCAGAGCGGAGGGAGGAGAGGGGGGGGGGGACACGGGGACAAACATTAAGAACAAATCGGACGGATTGTTCTTGTAAAACCCCTGAAGAGTCATTAAGAACAAATCGGACGAATTGTTCTTGTAAAACCCCTGAAGAGTCACTGTAATTAATTCTTAAGTGTTTGGCTCAGGTATAATCCTGCAGAAAATGTTAGGACAACAAAGTTTTAATGAACTACTCACTCTGCCACTGTAGCTCCATCCAGTGAAGTCCTGAGCTAGCAGGTTTAAAATCCAGGCCTTTTCTTTTTTTTTCCTTTTTTTTTTTTTTTTTTACATTTTTCTCCTGTGAAGTGTTTGTTTAAGCAGTTACTGCATTTAGAAGTCAGAAAAAAACAGGGTTAAAATAATGTCCAACAAAATGTCACTTCCTCAGTGGTCAGGCTACCAGTTAAAGACTATCTGAGGCTGAATAATCGGTAAACAAGACACAGCTGGTGGTGAAGAAAGAAGCGGGAAAGTCCCACAAATGAAGGGGATGAGTTACCAAAATAAAACAGGAATTAACTTAAAAACTTAAACTTAACATTAGCTCTTTTTTTCTCATCAGCATTTTTCAGCTAACCTAAAAAAATTGTAATCTATTTTACTAACATGTTAAATGAACTGAGAAAATACTTAAATGCAGGTCGTTGGTAAAGACAGGAAGTGCAGCTCTGTTTTTTCAAGTATCTTAACCAGTAACTGTTATTGTCTCCTCTTGTTGTGTTTTTTTCTGTGCAGGTGGCAGAACTCCGCTACAGAACTTTCTCGGAATCGCTGAGCAGCACATGGGCCCAAACAACGGGGTGGGTTAAAAATGAACACGACAACATAAACAACAACAGTATCACAATTAGTAGATTTTGTTAAGTCCTTGTCGTTAAACCAGTGGTGTCAAACATACGGCTCACGGTCCAAAACTGGCCCCCTAGTGTGTTCAATCCGGCCGCCTTGATGAATTTTGAAAAGAAAAAAAATCACTTCGTTTAGGATATGTTTGGTAAAATTATATATCATTAAATATAAATAAATAAAAATAATAAATATCTAATATACTTGGGCCAAACATGGACCTATCGTTGTTTTTAGTTGATTATATTATGATTGTACTGGTCCGGTCCACTTGACATGAATGATCCAAAATTAGTTTGACACCTCTGCCCTAAACCCATCAGTCAATCCGACTGCACAGTTTGTGCCAATCTCGCTGTCCTTGGTTCTCGCCCCACATGCACAACATCATCTAAATGTATATAAAATGTCAAACATTCTGATCTGTAGTTAATGCAGTGAACATTGACATTAGCCTCCGTGGAGTGTAAATTATGACGGGCAGTGAGATTTTAAATCCTGGCTGCAGACAGCAGTGTGTCAGGAGGAGAGAAGGATTGCAGAGTAAAACAATCACTCAGTGGCTTCATCTCACTCGCACGTATTGATTATGTTTTTAATTTGTTTTCGCCCGCGAGCGACTATGACTCAAACACATCTCCACTGTATATTTTTGTCTTTTCCTCTTTCGTTATTACCTTTTACTACACCGTCAGATATATATATCATACAATATTACAGATATATGTATATATATATACATATATAAATATATATACCAATAATTGAGGTTAAAAGTTCAAAAGTTAATTAGTGCCACATTTAAATGTTTTTCTCTCAGTTTTTGGAAAATGCCATAAAAATCCCAGTATTTCCTGGCAGCTATTTTCTTCCAGCTGTGTTCATTTTATTGCACTCTAAACTGTAACCTGTCACGTTTGTTGTTTTTCCAAGGCTCTGGTCACTCAGATGTCCAGTCCTGCAGTGACGAACCCCACACTGCTGACGGCCGAGGAGTACTTCAACCCCAGCCTGTCACCGACTCGTAGAGACATCGGCCACCCGTGCCAGCTCACCACCAAGACCCAGAGGTGACGCAGACGGACAGGAAAACAGAAACCATGAAATCAGCCTCCAAACACAGTGCCAGAGCTGACAAACTGACACACACACCAAACACACACACACTTACACAGGCCCGTTCCATGACAGCTGACCACGGACATCCTCAGATACAGAGAGAGCGACTGACACACACACACTCGCACTCACACTGTGAATTTTACAAAGTGTGTGAGGAGTCTGACAGTTCCAGAGTGTGTGTGTGTGTGTGTGTGTGTGTCACAGCTCCGGCTCTGATGACTCATGACTGTCCTCTGTTCTGTCGTGACGTAACCACCAGAAACAAAACAGTGTATTCAAATGAAGCGACGCTGGAGTGGCCCCCTGGTGTTTTAAAAAAAATATCTTTGGTCTGAAAGTTAAAAAAAAAAGGATCATATTTTAATAGTATTTAAGAAATACGGCTCATTAAATCAGTTTTAGTGCCGCGCTCATTAATCACAGTGTAGTGGCTAAACTCTCCCCCTCTCTCCCCCTCTCTCTGTCCTCCCCTCTAGTTTCAGCTGCTAATGTGCCGTCCACTCGTCCAGCCTGTAATTATCCCCCTGACTTTAGCTCTGTCCGCCGTCGCCAAACACACACACTCACACAGGCCCGTTCCATGACAGCTGACCACGGACATCCTCAGATACAGAGAGAGCGACTGACACACACACACTCGCACTCACACTGTGAATTTTACAAAGTGTGTGAGGAGTCTGACAGTTCCAGAGTGTGTGTGTGTGTGTGTGTGTGTCTGTCACAGCTCCGGCTCTGATGACTCATGACTGTCCTCTGTTCTGTCGTGACGTAACCACCAGAAACAAAACAGTGTATTCAAATGAAGCGACGCTGGAGTGGCCCCCTGGTGTTTTAAAAAAAATATCTTTGGTCTGAAAGTTAAAAAAAAAAGGATCATATTTTAATAGTATTTAAGAAATACGGCTCATTAAATCAGTTTTAGTGCCGCGCTCATTAATCACAGTGTAGTGGCTAAACTCTCCCCCTCTCTCCCCCTCTCTCTGTCCTCCCCTCTAGTTTCAGCTGCTAATGTGCCGTCCACTCGTCCAGCCTGTAATTATCCCCCTGACTTTAGCTCTGTCCGCCGTCGTCTTTGTTCTGGGGCAGTTAATAAAAAGTGACGGATCGTCACAAAGATGAAGTCTTTACCGCTGCCTCTCCGCTCGGTGCTGCTGATCGAACGCCTTAAAATATGAGCATTGATTGGGCCGCAATTTGAACACGACTCAGCAGCTTGAGTCGGTCAGTCTGTTGACTGATGTGATCAACGCCTCCGTGGGCCTCGGGCGAAACAACAAACTGCTTAAGTGAGGGCCACAAATCACATTAGTTTTACTGAAGACAGAACTGAGTTTGGTTTTATTCATGAATACGCGTTGGTAAAACTCGCCGGCGAATTTAACAGACCAAATATATGGTTGTGTGTGTGTTGTTTGTGTCCAGGTTCAAAGCTAAGTTATGGTTGTGTGAGTCTCATCCTCTGTCCCTGGCGGAGCAAGTGCTGCCAATCATCGACCTCATGGCCATCTCCAACGCTCTGTTTGCTAAGCTGAGGGACTTCATCACTCTACGTCTGCCGCCTGGATTTCCTGTCAAGATTGGTGAGTGAGGGATGGATGGACGGATGGATGGATGGATGGATGGATGGATGGATGGGTGGATAGATGATGGGTGGATGGATGATGGATGGATGGATGGGTAGATGGTTAGATGGAAGCATATTTATATATATTTACTGATAACTCAATTTGAACAACATCTATTTTCCACTTCTTCTCGTCTCTTCTTCCTCCAAACCCTCGGCAGAGATCCCGCTCTACCACATCCTGAACGCCAGGATCACCTTCAGTAACCTGAACGGCTGCGAGGAAGGTTTGAGCATCCGCACCGACAACGAAGTCGGGATGGAGGGGGACGGACAGAGGGATGGTGGGAGGACAGAGACACCGTCTCCAGGCAGTGACTCCTCCAGTGTCTCCAGCTCCAGCTCTACAAGTGAGAGCCAGCGTGTCTCTCCACGCCGCCCGCCGCTCTCTCTCTCTCTCTCATATATACATATTCTAAGATTTGACATCTCAGATGATTTCAGTTCTGACAAGCGCTGCTATAAATCCGTCCATTTACTGAATAACGCTCCTGATAACAGAGGCTACGCTTCCATGATACTGAGTTACGACCAGTGTTTATCACCGGCTGAGAAGCCAAAGTTACAGCCTCCTTTTCTCCATCTGATCACTGAGATGAGAATCCAAACTGCCCTGCTTAAATCTGCAGTCATGTGGCGTCGTGCAGAAGTACCGTGTCTGCAGGCATAAATAAATAAATGAATAATAGGGATGTATAATAGAATATCAGCCGACCGATATTATCGACCCGATATTAGCATAGTTACGTAATATCGGTAAGAATTGTTATCCGTTTTCCCTCCGAAATGTTAACCCGATAATTCAATGTCTGGGTTTTGACAAATTTGCTGGAATCGCCTGACATCTGTTCACCTCTCTCTCTCTCTCTCTCTCTCTCTCGCCCTTTGCCCTCTCCCCGTGTGCCCCAGTGTCCTGTCGAACGGGAGAGATCGCCCCCTGTGTGTTTGAGCCTCCACCTGGATACACCATGCTCGGGGGCAAACAGAGGGAGAGCATGAGGGATGAGGAGGAAGACCTGCTGCAGTTCGCCATACAGCAGAGTCTACTGGAGGCCGGCTCCGAGTACGACCAGGTGGGCAAACGGTGGCGCTCCTGAGTAGACATCTTTATTTCTATGTTCAAACACAGAGCAGAAGAAGAAGACGTTTTAGAATCACATTAACTGCTGGAAAACGTTTAGAATTTAAATAGATAATATAAATAAATTATATAATTTGGCAAAATTTGGTGGGCCAAATTAAAAAGCTGAACGGGCGGCATCTGGCCCCCGAGCCTGAGTTTGCCCATCCCTGGTTTAAACTGTTAAACTGAACAAAATGAAAATCCTGTGATACAAGAGGAGAATAAATAAATAGACCTCAGTGAGACGGGTCATAGAACACCCTCTGATTTTTATTCTGGCAGAAGAAAACTGAAAGGGGGAGAAAAGGGTAAGACTAGTCGTCCTCAGCAGGGAACTCCGAAAATGATAATGAGACTTTTATTTACGGCCTTGTTTTCTGAGGCAGGACAGGTGCTGGACTGCTGACGCTGCAGCTCCTGCAGCGGTTCCTCTTCTGAATGCCAACATGGCAACCT